CGACAGGTTGAAATGATCCCAGTGAAGCTATCTGAAACAAAGAATAGCCTTGACTCTCACTGAATCAAAATGCAACGTGGAACGGTGCCCTGACAGTTAACTTTGTTAAACTTCGGAACTCTGTTCAATTCAAGCACTAAACTCTTTTAATTGATTTATTGGTTCCGTTAATGTCTTCACGCTTATAGTACTTGAAACGTAGGATGCCATCGTACATGATCCAGCGAATAAACTTGAACCTGATTTTCTTGGTGGTCAGGCTCTCATGGTAGGGTTCAAAAGTACCGAAAAATTTTAAATTGTAGGTGGCTGTAATTCTGCTCTTATTCACTTGGACCGTACAGTAATCGGCGACCAATTACGCCAAAGCAACACTCCCCTCCATTCCTCGCGAGTTTGAGCCTTTTCCCTCTATGGGTAACCTTATCGACCTCGGATATATTCTTCCTACTACAGTGGTGGGCGACCACATGGCCGAGACCATCTGTGAGGGTGCCAATCGATGATAATCTACGACACACCAGCCGTCTGTGAGAAGAACTATGTATCAAGCCAATAATTTCTTATCGTTTCCACTTTCGACGACGACGTACCTCACTCCCTCTGGTTTTCCGATCGCTGTGTTACGGATGTTGTCGTAACCTGAATTTCCTAACAATCTCCTTTCCATATTTCTTTCGATAAGAAACAGCTGACGTTCTTCAACCTCTCACAGCAATACCGCATTGCTCACGGGACGATAGAATTAACTAGGCTTGAATAGGCATGGATTCCCTTCCTGTTGTTGCCAAGGAGGAAGTCACTGATGGAATGGACTAACTCTTAAATCTCTCGCATCTGACCATGAAACATGATCTCTCTTCGCCAAGATAAATGGATTTATCTACTTATTTGATCTTTTCGCTATTTAATTATACCTGGGCCTTCGACAGGGTATCCGATCGACGTATCTTAGTCTTCTACTGATTCATTCGCGGTCCGAATTCCGCGCATTCTCTTTCGAGCTTCTGCAGCGTGTCATAAAGTTGACTGGCGTCTCCAGAAAACCTTAGATGGCTGAACTGTTCACCGTTGATGCTAATTCAAGTTCTTCCTCAGGAACACCATTACGAAGCAGGCAGTTTTGCCGAGATACTGTCCTCTTGTTTCACGCCCTTCTCTGCGGGAATTAGGACGAGGATGCTGAACAGCATGATGTTTGCTTCAACAGCTACAGTTCGCTTCCGTTAGCAGGTTGTCGTGACGGGTATCGTTGCCCTCTTCTGCCAGTCGATTTATGATGCGCTATGTTTGACGTGTACAACGTTTGGTCGTAATTGAAGAAGGCGATGCACAGAGGGAACTGATAGTCCGTCAGATGCTGAGGAGTAGAATTACGGTAAACATGTTATCAGTTTTGCTGTAACTCCTTCGGCATCCTGTCTGTTCTCTTGGCCGCTGTTCGTCCAAACCTTCTGACAGTTTGTTAGTGATAGT